TTCCTTCCTTTCGTTCGTTCGTTCGTTCTTTCTTTCTTTCTTTCTTTCTTTCTTTCTTTCTTTCTTTCTTTCTTTCTTTCTTTCTTTCTTTCTTTCTTTCTTTCTTTCTTTCTTCATTTCCTCGCGATTTGACTGTCAGCGGTCATCAACATCCAATTATGCGCCACTGACAAAGCGCGCTAAAATTCAAGATGGCGGAAGTGGACATTCAAGGAAAGTAAGAGTCAATTGGTTTTATCCTTTAATTCTTCTTTATTCTCGTCCTTAAACCCTTTATATTCTAGACCTAGGAAGCCCTAACCTCCATCCATGAGCCTTGATCCTTTAAGAACAATTTATCTAGCTTTTAACGTCGATTTACGCCATATTTTGACACTAAACATAGACTTCTTTATCATATTAATTCACTAAGATTTGGAATACAGAACTCTATTCATATGAAATATAGTTGATCTAGCAGTGGGCTATAAGCTTTTTACTGGAATAACATACGTTTTTAAACATAAACCCACTGTGATGTTACTGATCCAAACGCATTTGCTTTTTTTTCTAACGATTYTGACAAAGTAATCTTTATTTGTCATTTTAGGATTTCTAGATTCTTATTACAATATCAATTCAGGTTTTTATTCATTGCTGTACAAAAAAAATGGATGATTGAAGTTTACTAAATAAAGCAGAGGTACAAAAGTAAGTTAATATATATAATTAAATACATAATTTWAAAAAAATCATAATATTAGCCATTCTGAGATTGAGGAAACAACTATGTCGAGTTGGCATTCTAGTGCATTTTAGAGTTTTAGGGGACAACATAGACACCATCTTCTCGCCATTTTGGAAATATCTCCCCTAAAACAGCTGCACGATGCACTGCAATGCCAATTGACCCAGTTTTTCCCTCAACCGTGAAATGCCTAATACCATTAAGGAGCAAATGTAGAGCCAAAAGGGTCTAAGAATATCTTGCAGTTCAAATTATTAGGGTCAGCAAAAAATATGGTTCACTAGATAAAATTTGCACCAACCCTCATCTCTCTCTACTTCCTCTCTAAATAATATCTTCCTCCTCTCCCCTTCCCTTTAAGTAATACATGCATGAATGACCTTTTCTTCCCTTCAAATAATATCCCCATCCTCCCTATCGTTCACCTCTATAGGCCAATTTTCTTTCTTTCTTTTTTTTTTCTTTCTTTCTTTCTTTTTTCTTTCTTTCTTTCTTTTTTCTTTTTTTCTTTCTTTCTTTCTTTTTTTCTTTCTTTCTTTCTTTCTTTCTTTCTTTCTTTCTTTCTTTCTTCCTTCCTTCCTTCCTTTCTTTCTTTCTTTCTTTCTTTCTTTCTTTCTTTCTTTCTTTCTTTCTTTCTTTCTTTCTCTCTGTCTGTCTGTCTGTCTTTCTGCTTGTCTGTCTGTCTTTTTTTGGTTTTGTTTTTCAGTTCTTGTTTTTCCCCCTCTCGATTTCTATCCAATAAGTTTCATGCGAGAGGGGGTCTAAGCACAAATAGGGAAAAGAGTCAAATGAGACGTAGCTAACTTCTAAAGTCTGAGCAGCCTCCCCAATCTTAATGTATGTACAACAAAATGTGGTTAATAATGTATAAGTCAGATGCAAGTGCGGAATGCCTAGCATTCTTAACCCATGAAAACTATTGCAAACTATAACAAGAGAACTTTTTCTCTAGACTATAGTCAATGACCAATTATATCTCAACTATATTTCTAATTTCAACTAAGTTAATAGAGTACAAACACTAAAAGTGTGCAACATTTTGCACTATTTAGTAGTTAAAATAATGCTAATTAAACAATAGAAAAACAATAGCATTAGCATAATTTAGCATTATTTAATGGTATTTATGTTGCACACTTATAGTGTTTGTACTCTAGTCTGATAGTCTAACTATAAATAGTATAAACCTACTAATAGTCCATCACAAATCTTGCACTCTTATTGGCTGAGCTAAAGTGGTCTATTAGTGATAGACTATTAGAAGCAAAAAAGAAACAAAAAACAGAAATTTAAACTAAATCTTCTTTATATCTTTCATTGGGGATATTTAATGTGTAATGTTAAGCAGTTCTTACTCTTACAATACAATATATCTTTATTCACATTTGCTTTTACGTTACATTACATTAAATTATATATTTATCATTGAAAAGAAAATACTTATTTGGTAAAATAAATAAAGCTAAATATAGGTTGTAATGAGGGGAAATGCCTAGAGCCTAAATAAACCATATAGTTTCCTAGTTAGACCCTAGTCATGTTTTGTATCAGTTTGAAGTAGGCAATAAACATGAGGGGAAAAAATTAAATAATATGCAAACAATAGACAAACAATGAACAACAACTGTCAACCCGGTCATGTATTAGATGGTACATAAAACTGCTTCAGTAATAATTCATAAGCTTATGGTCCAATTGGAGCCACCATACACGTCACGTGCATGAACCTTTATACCCGATAAAGTCCTCTTCATTAGTATTCAAGTGATTTTATATAAAGACACATGTGGTCTTTATATAAAGACCACTCGAATACTATGAGGATGACTTCATCAGGGATGAAGTATGCATCCAAGTTTAGATGAATACATAGAGCTTCATCAAGGTCATAGTCAACCCTAAAGATCTTTGACTAACGTGCCTGTCTTTGCCTTGGCACGCAATATCCAACGTGTGGGAGCTTCTATTGAATCTGGTTGCGCATGCCCGTGATGTCAAATCTCTATCGAAGTATAAAAATCCATGTTCGTGACGTGTATGGTGGCTCCAGTTGAATCAAAATCTTATAAATTGTTCATGAGTGTTTTAAGCAGTTCAAAAAACTCGTAGATCGTGTTTTATCAGGTATAAAAGCACTCGGCTACGCCTCATGCTTTTATACCTGATAAAACACTCCTACTCGTTTTTTAAACACTACATAAAACTGCTTCAGTAATAGGTGCTGCTTAAGTTTTTTTTTTTGAAAGCGAAGGCACTAAGGTCTTTGATGTCTTTTGGAATTTGCTGCCAATAATCAATTCCTAAAGCTGATGTTGTTTTTTTACCAATGTTGGTTCTAAAACGTGCCTTGTAGAAGTTACCCTTACACCAACTCATAAAAATATATTTATTGGGATTTCATTTGTGTTGCTGCTATTTCTTCCCCTTGACTACCATGTTCTTTAACATTTAAAAAAAAAGGAATATTTTGATGTGAAATCATATAGAAATAAGGCAATATTAGACTAGGTTTATAGTTAGGTTGGATACTAATTATATACAAAGTTATTAAACTTAATCCCTATATATCCAAAACACGATATTGTACATGTATAATCTAACAATCACCAAAGACAGATAAAAATGACACATTATAAATATTATTTCTTAAAGAAAGGAAAGATTTGGGTCAATTTATTGGGGGGCAGTGGCGGATCCTGGTTCAACTTTGTGCCCTTACTTTGAAAATAACCAATGCAAAATAAGGTTTTCTTCCCTTTGATTCAAAGGGGTGCACCCCTCCCTGGGTTAACCTTGTAAGCAGCACCCTACCCATAACAAATTTCTGGATCGGCCCCTGGGGGGAGGGTTGGGGCTTCAGTAAAGAGGGTCATTAGTAAAAGTTTGAACTTTTGTAAAGAGTCACACCATTTTATTTTCAGGAAAGCTAGTTCCTTGTTGACTGAATAGGAAGGCCGAGAATTTCTTACTGAGTGAAATAGGGAGGGCTACGGCCATTTTAAAACTAAAGTTTACCATGCGAATCCCCCAGCTCCCCTCCCCTCCCACTTGTATAAACAAAAATGACCTTCCCTTGTTGAAATTAGTTACTGAGTACCGATCAGATAAAGATCTTAGGACCACAAAAGGCACTGCTTTCCTGAGGTTCCAGTAAATCAATGTTTTTTTTATGTACCAAGTTGTCAAACAACACATACAAAACAATTATTTGATTTTCTAAGTTTTTTTAAACTTAAAAAAAAAAACGTGAATTATAAATTTATTTTTTTGAAGAAAGGAAACTGATTACTACAATGGAGGTTTGGAAAATCAAGCTCTTTATTCGCATTTGTGTGCTATGTCCAGATTTACATCATTTGAAAGAAGAGGAATTGATCTGCTTAATTGAAGAATGCTTGGTCGTGGCTCTTTTCCTAGAAGATGTCGTCACTCAGAGAATCAGTTATTTATTACTTGGTACATTATATAAACAAATTCATCAGATAGAAAGAGCAATTGAATATTACAAAAAGCATCTACACATTGCTAATGAAATGGGCGACATAAAAGGAGAATTTACGGCCTACGAACGTTTAGCAAATGCCTATGACTTACTAGGCGATTTCCGCGAGGCAATTAAACATCACAAAAAGTGTTTAAACATCGCTGAAGAGATGGGCTATAAGATTGAAGAAGGAACCGCCTATGGGAAATTGGGAAATGACTATCAGTCATTAGGGGAATACCACAAGGCAATAGAATATCACGAGAAATGTCTTAGCATTGGTGTGGAGATAGGAGACAGAAAAATAGAAAGTGACGCTTGCTGTAATCTAGGGAATGCGTACCAATCACTTGGGAAATACCAAAAGGCAATAGAATATCAAGAAAAACATCTAGGTATCACTATTGAGATATCGGACACAGCGGGAAAAGCAGTAGCTTATGGGAACTTAGGAATCATTTACAGATCATTAGGGAATTACCAAAAGGCTATTGAATATCAAGAGAAGAGTCTTGACATTGCTCTTAGTATAGGTCAAAGAAAGTTGGAAGGTCATGCTTATGGAAATTTAGGAAATGCCTATCAGTCATTAGGGAAATATCAAAAGGCAACAGAATATCTCGATAAGTGTCTTGGTATAGCTACAGAAATAGGTGACAAAGAAGCAAAAAGAAATGCTTACGGGAGTTTAGGAAACATTTGTCGGTCACAAGGGAAATACCAAGAGGCAATGGAGCATCATAAAAAATGCCTTAGCATCGTTATTGAGATAGGTGACAGAAGGGGAGAGGGAGCTGCTTATGGAGACATAGGGAGTACATATAAGTCAATAGGGAAATATCCAGAGGCAATCGATTATTTTAAAAAGCGTCTAATCATCTGTAAAGAGATTGGTGATAGACAAGGAGAAGAGTCTGCTAATGGAAACATGGGAACTGTTTATCATGCATTAGGAAAATACCATGAAGCAACCATGTATCAAAAGAATTGCCTCAGCACTGCTATTGAGATAGGTGATAGACAAAATGAAATAGCAACGTACTCAAACTTGGGAAATGCCTATCAGTCTTTAGGAAAATATCAAAAGGCAATTAAATATTACGAAAAAAGTCTTAAAAATGCTAAAGAGATAACATTAAAAAGAGAAGAACAAGTTGCTTATGGAAACTTGGGAACTGTTTATCAGGCATTAGGAAAATACCACGAAGCGATAAAGATTCACAAGAAATCCCTCAGCATTGCTATTGAGATAGGTGACAGGGGAAACGAAGGAGTATCCTACGGAAACTTAGGACATGCATATTATGCACTCAAGAAATACCACGAGGCAAAGGATTATTACGAAAAAAGGCTTAGCATCGCYATGGAGATAGGAGATAGAGAAGGAGAAGGAGCAGCTTACGGAAGCATAGGAACTATCTATAGGTTTTTCGCTAATTACCAAAAAGCGATTGAATATCACGAAAAGTCTCTAAACATCGCTATTGAGATTGGTGACAGGCCGAGAGAGGGGAATGCGTACGGGAACTTAGGAGTTGCCTATTGGTCATTAGGAACATATTATGGACAAATTGAATATCAAGAAAAGTGTCATGGCATCGCTAAGGAGATTGGTGACACAGAGAGAGAAGGAGTGACTAATGGAAGCATAACAAGGGAGTTGCATTCACTAGAGAAGTACCAAGAGGCCATTGAGTACCATAAAAAGCACCTAAGTATTGCTGTAGAGATAGATGACAGAAATGGACAAGTACATGCGCATCTTAGTATTGGTAAGTCTTATGATGTCATAGAAGGCAAATAAATCTATACTGTAAGAAGAGATAGCTAGCTAAAAACTAGTGTGAACTTCGTCGGAGTAAAAGTACTCCGACGAAGGACTAGCGTCCGAAACGTCAGTAAGTTTTTTCATCTTTTCACGGTGTCAAATTTACCCTTTTATCATATACTGTAAGAACTTTATCGCACGTAATTTACTTATTACGTCTCCCCAATTAGCAAAGCACCGGTGCTTAGCTAGGAGTGTTTGAGACCTCAATAAACTTTATCTATCAATATTGGACAAAAATAGCTAACAATTTTCTGTTGGATAGCGATAATTGAGACTTTTACTTCAAGAGGGGCTAGAAAAGATCTTTCTCCCTCCACTGGTCCAATCAGTTCACCTTGCTTCACAGCAATATCGAATTGTGGGTAGGGTGGAGGAGGCAGAATGTTTTTTGATTTGTAAAAATTGAATTAGAACAGAAAAGGTATCATTTCTCAACATTTTTGTCCAAAATCGTAGAAAAAAACTTTTAGCGGCGAATGCGCATGCAAACAATAATACCATCAAGCGCTCTAAAAAAAACTTTGATTAGCGGCGAATTCAGTGATGACCATTGCAATCATCCTTGTGCTTATGTAATAGGAACTTGCTATGCATATCTGGCAAAACTGCAAGACAGCGATCTAAATATCAACATCATGATGAAAAAAGCAGAAAGTCACTTAAAGAAGAGTATAGGAACTTTTGAGTCGTTGTTTGATGACCTGGATCAAGACCAATATAAGATATCAATTGTTGAAACGTACATCGGTTGCTACACGGCACTGGCACTTGTTTATGTAGAGACTCAACAGACGGACGAAGCACTTCTTGTATCGGATCGTGGACGAGCCCGTGCTTTGGGGGATCTGTTGACTTTGAAATACAGCATGGATAAAGAAACTACATCAAAAAGTGCTTTCATTCAAGTTACCGACATTGAGATGTTTTTGTCGACTTGTAATTTCGGAATTCTGTTTTATGCTCTATTTCGAGATGAATTGGATGCTAATATTTGGGTTCTATCTCATCAAAGCCCACCATATTTTCATCCTAGTAAGATCAAAGGATCCATCTCTAATCTTGTGGAGAAGAGCTACAACAAACTGAAGGTCAGAGAAGGAATAAAATGTGAGGACAGGTCGCTGGGATTACCCGACGTTGAAGACCAAGATATTGAAAACGAGCGTGTGTCATCACTAATCTTAGACCAAAACACCACAAAAGAAGGAGAAAGTGACAAAGTGGACAACAAAACGGATGCTAGATGTATATATGATGAAGATCATGATACTGACGAGAAACCGTTGGAATTGTTATATGATGAACTAATTGCTCCGGTACATCACATGCTTGTTCAGGATGAGATTGTCATTATTCCTGATGGAGGTCTTTACATGGTGCCTTTCGCAGCTTTCCAGGATCCCAAGACAGGACAATTTCTATCGGAAACTAAGCGCATTCGCCTGGCACCTTCTTTAGCAACTTTGAAAGTTCTCCAAGAATCCTCAGATGATGAACATGACAGGACAGGCGCATTAATTGTTGGAAATCCTAAAATTGGGCAAGTCGAGTTTGAAGGCAGTGTAAGATCGTTTATAGATTTACCTGGTGCAGAAGATGAAGCTAAAGAGATTGCCAAACTATTTGGAGTGGAGCCATTGATAGGAAGTCAAGCAACCAAAGAAGCAGTTCTCCAAAAACTACACGTTGGCGTGTCTGTCATCCACTTTGCAGCACATGGAAGTGAGAAAAATGGACAAATTCTTCTTGCTCCATCTGCGTCGTCGTTAGCAACGAACAGCATTCCAGACGAGGAGGACTTCGTCTTGACAATGAAGAAAGTACAAGAAAGTGGTATACGAGCCCAACTTGTTGTGCTGAGCTGCTGTCACAGTGGTCGTGGTGAGATCAAGGCAGAGGGAGTGGTAGGGATGAGTCGAGCGTTTCTTGCTGCAGGAGCTCGAGCTGTTGTTGCGTCATTGTGGGCGATTGGTGACAACGCGACGAAAGAATTCATGTTGAAGTTTTATTCGCATTTAAAGAGAGGAAAGAGTGCAAGTAAGAGCCTACAGCAAGCAATGAATAATATGCGAGAAACGGAGACATACATGGAACCAAAGCACTGGGCTGGCTTTTTTCTTATTGGTGATGACGTCACCATCAGTGTATAATTTGCTGTTTGATTAGAAAAGTAATGACTAATAGTCCCTTTCACAGTTCCCTTCGCCGTCTTGAAAGGTAGTCGTGCCTTTGCATCCAAGCTAGACGAACGGTGGGCTTGCAATGATAGAGAAGTGAATAATTTTTCGAGGTGTCAGAAAAAGGTCTCTATCATTGCCAGGTCACCGTTCGACTAGCTTCGATGCAAAGGCACGGCTACCTTTCAAGATGCCGCAGAGAACTGTGAAGGGGACTCTTGTTACATACCAAATGTTAAAGTACATATTTTGGATTCTCATTGGCCAAGATGGTACCACGTGATAGTCATCAAGTTTCATTATATCCCGGCGAGCTAGTAACATTACAATGTTCACCGGTGAGTAACAAAACCGGAAGGGATTTCACAAGAAATATAGCTTTTTTCAAGTTCTTAAAAATCAGATGAAATAATCGAAGAATAGTTTCGTGTTCTTGGACACTTCTGTTTCGTTTAAGATGAGCTGAAACTCCGCCTCCCTATTAATGCCGAGAAGCTCTTTTCATTTCGGTTTTTATTTTGACAAAACTGCTCGTTTTAAGGGAGGTAGGGCCGTCACTTGACCTGTTAGTGCAAATCTTCTATTCAACCCTATTATATTCTAATCTTTAGATTTTATAACACGATTTGGTAGGGTTACTAGGATTACACAGATTAGATTTCATCTAGGCTCTTGTAGATCTAGTTATTAGAATTCAGAAGTTTATTTTTGCAGAGGAATAAAAACTGGAGTACCCGCAGAAAGACCCTCTAAGCACATGAGAGAATCAGCAAACAACTCGATCTACTCTCACAAATGTCATCGTCAGCCAGGAATCGAACCCGGGTCGCGTTGTCACCACCGGTGCGCAAGACTTTTAACACAAACTAAAAACCTCATTTATTGACTTGTATGTTGATTAATTTAAGTTTTCTTCAATATTCAATAGACGTTCTCATCGCCAAAGGCGATAGGCAATCCTGAGGTGATAGGCGATTTTAGACCTAATCCGCTAACGTGTTGCTATACGTTACCACCCAACCTTCTGGGAATAGAAGCGTTTGTCTCTACGAATTCAACTCTGAAACCAAAATATAACGAACAATGAAACTTACTCTTACTCCATTACACGTTAGCCGATTAGGTCTATTGAAATAGGTGTATACTGTTTTCCTATAATTTCTATAGAACGTAATTTGTTATCAATAAAAATCACAATAATAATAAATGGGGATTAACAGTGGTTCTACAGAGTGTCTCTTCTTCCACTGGATTCTAATTGGCATCTAGAAGTCGATTTTTGTGGAGGGAGAAAAACCGGAAACCGGACAAACTAAAACCCTCGAAGCACAGGAGTTAACTATAGACCCCTTGCATGTGACGTCAAAGCAGCACGATCAAAGCAAAAGAATTCCAATCTTCTGAGAATCGGAACCTATTGTTTTGTCTACCAGATTGAGCTGCATTCCAAAGGCTGCGAGGTGTCTATTGATAGCAGTAGACTTGATAATCCCTAAGGATACCCCTACCCTTACAACTTCAAGAGCATAGTGCAGTGCTATCTTATACCTCGATTGTCACAAATTACATTTTTCGTTGACATTTCATCAACTGTTTTCCTTTTTTTGTTTTGTTTTGTTTTGTTTT